CAATCCTATTTCTAGTCCCATTTCTGTCTCTCTCATTACCAAATATTTTAAGATCAGTCTTTGGAGGGTGAAACAGACCAATAATCACCCACCTCTTCTCATCCACCTCTTCACAGTTTCCTTATAGAATATTCTAGGCTTCAGCTTTTTCTGCCTCTTTTACCCATCAAGATGATCCCATCATCATGTTTCTAGAGTTAGTTGGAAATAATCTCATTCACTAGGGATATTCCTTTTCATTCCTTTCATTTGTATGCTTTTCTTTGTTTGTTCAATTTATATATTTATAATCCAGCATGGTTGCAGGAGGATGTAAAAGCAATATATTCAAAGCCAAAAAGTAGAACTCGGAATTACCAAATATAGTATGTCATCATTTGGACGCGCTGTAATTAATCTAATCAGTCTTAAATTTTGAACATATTTCCTGTTGTTTTTCCCCCTATTATAACTATTTAACCTCTTTATCTGRGAGAGAAAGATTAGAGATAGACCTATGGAACCAATAAATAAAAGGATGAAGAGCTGAACACACAAAAAAAGCAACCTGCAAAGCAATAAGCAGATACAAAAATTAGGTAAAATAGGAGTCCTTCAGATTATAAATGTAACTCAGCTAGGACGTTTGCCTAGCATTTATGAGGCCTTKTTTTGATCCCAGCACTGCAAATAAACAAATGAATAAACAAATAAGTAATRGTAATAATAAGCTGGGCACCATGGCGCACGCCTGTAATCCCAGAGGCTCAGGAGGCTGAGTCGGGAGGTTCACAAGTTCAAAGCCAACTTCAGCAAAAGTTGAGGTGCTAAGCAASTCAGTGAGACCCTGTCTCTAAATAAAATACAAAATAGGGCTGGGATGTGGCTTAGTGGAGTGCCTCTGGGTTTAATCCCTGGTACCCATCCCACAAAAATATAATAATAATTAACAAATCCAGAATCTCATCAAAGAACTTTCCTGGGCTGTAGGGTAAAAATCCACATAGTAAGTCAAGAGTTGCTAAGATTAACAAGCAGATTTAGAAAATTGTATTCATCCTTATCTATAAAATTTATCAACATTCCAGATTATATTTATAGGAAAAAAATTTAAATGTGATTTCTCCACTCAACATGTGAATGCTTTAAAAATTTTTGATATTCAGTTGGCAAATTTTTCAAGAAGGGTTTCATCAATTTATATTTTGACCAAAAGTCAAATTCCAAAAACAAAAATACTCACATGATTGACTAATTTTATAAACATAATTTCATCTTGTATTTATGTTCATATACAGTTCTTTGACTATTACTGATCTTGAATATTGTCTAGATTATAATATTTAATAAACAAATAGACCCTCAATAGTGTATGGTCAATTTTATGTGTAGACAGAGTCTTTGGGCCTTCAGGAATTCTCAAGATCACACAGCTTGCAAGTATTTGGAAGTGTAGAAGAACATAGATGATACCTTGCCAAAAATTTAAAAACATGTGACTTGCTCATCTATTTTTTAATGGAAAATAAGATTATTCATTCTTCTTAGACATTAGATGTAAATAATTGTCAAACATTTTCTGCTTCTTGAAACAAATGTATTTGGTGTGCCCTTTTATTCTCTTTGTGCAAAACCTAAAATGGTAGAGATATCTTTGTCTTGACAAGTATAAAAAATTGCTGAAGAATAAAATTCCACCAACCTAAATGCTTCAAGAGTTTTTATGCAAAGGGTTAAATACCCTTTATCTACACTGGTAGAATAGCCTTTCATGTAGCCCTAAAAGCTACCAGAAAACTATGACATGAAGGGAGTGACACAGTTGGATTGCTCTTTAGTATGGTTTGACATGCAGAGTTTCCTCATTTGATCACTGCATGGACATTTAAAATCCAGGTTCTAGGTACTGACACAATGTAGATGAATCTCAACAATATTCTGCCAAACAAAAGAAACACATAAACTATTTCATTTATAAGTATTATCAAGACACGAATTGGTGTGAGTATACTATGTATAAAACCAGAGATATGAAAAATTGATCTCTCTATATATAATAAGAATTATAATGCATTCCACTGTTATATATAAATATAATTAATTAATTAATTAAAAATATATAGGTAAGAAAGCCTTGTGGGGTATATAAGTAGAAAAAAAGAAGAATAGATAAAATGGGTATGGTGGTGCATGCCTGTAATCCCAGCAGTTTGGGAGGATAAGGCAGGAGGATCTCAAGTTCAAAATCGGCCTCAGCAACTTAGCAAGGTCCTGAGCAACTTAGTAAGAACCTGTCTCAAAATAACAAATAAAACAAGCTGGAGATGTGGCTCAGTGCTTAAGTTCCCCTAGTTCAATTTCCAGTACCAAAAAAAAAAAAGATGAATTTATAGTGACAGAAAGTAAATTAGTGTTTATCATGGTTTGGAAGGAGGAAGAATAGGGACAAACTGCTTAATGGGTATATGGTTTTATTTTTGAAGTGATAAAAATATTTTGGAACTGAATAGAGGTAATGGTTTCACAGTTTGGTGAATGTACTGAATTATTAACTTTGATATGGTTCATTTTATGTTATGAAAATTTATCTTCAGCAAAGTATGCGTACATATAACTATATGAGTGTATGTATATGTCTGTCTATCTGTCTATTTGTCTATCTATCATCTATCTRCCTATATTTTTAAGACCCAAGTTCTGGAAACCACCAGAATTTAAATTGGATACTGACTTTATGAGGATAATGCAGGAGGATTGCAAGTTCAAAGTCAGCCTCAGCAACTTAGGAAGGTCCTGAGCAACTTAGTAAGACCTTGTCTCAAAATAAAAAATAAAACAAGCTGGAGATGTGGCTCAGTGGTTAAGTTCCCCTGGTTCAATTTCCAGTACAAAAAAAAAAAAAAAGTTKTTTGGCCTTGGCCAACTTATTTTAATCTCCTACCCTTAACTCTAACACATTTTCTTTGAAACTTCCATTCCCTCTAATGTTCTAATTTGGAAGAATGATTATAATAGTCTACCCTGCATACAGGCCCATAATCTTGAGCCTTATGAGAGATGATATATGTAAAAGCTTTGGTGCATGTTTGGCTATTCTTAAGGAGCAGTAGCTACTGCTACAACAATGACTGCTCCCTCCTCCTCACTGCTATAGCTACTACCACCAGCAGGAGTAGTAGCTGTGTTCCAACCCAGATTCTTGGTACAGCGACATGACTGCATTTCATTCTGTAGTCTCACTCCAGGTAATTCATTTAATATAAAACCACATGATATTGACTTTAGGTTGGCAATCCCTCGGAAGAGCTCTTCTTCTGAAAGACAGAATTTGAATTAAAACTGTTTTAAGTTGATATCAAAATGGAACAGAGTCTGAGGGATCAAGGAGTAAGAATGAAATAGCTAAAATAAAATCATCAACAATCTTGGGAAAGTGGTGGACCTTGCCTCCTCCCTGTGTGTGCTGTAATTGTGTCCTCCTTTACAAACAGAAATCAATCCTTGAAAAAAGAGGCATTTTTCTAAAATTAGAGAAAAATATGAGAAGAAAAAATGAATTTAACTAGGCTTCAGAGAAGGGAAATTTTAGGCATCATTTGGAAATTGTCATTGGTATATGGTGGATGGTAAGTGGCACAGAGAGCTGCAAGTTGATGGTTTTAAAAGATCTGTGAACACTGTAAAAAATGGCATGTACAAAAGCATTTTTATTAATGGAATTCTCCAAAGAGTTCAAAGCACATTTGCTGTTTTACTGACAGATATTCCATTACCTACCCACATTTTATTTTCCTTATTGTTCCTATGGCTCCTCAAATCATCAGTAGGCTGGGGGAAAATTTTTTAGGACATAGAAATGTATTGTTTTACAAAGTCTTCTTGGGACCACTATCTAATTTGTTCTCATGAAGCCTGATCAAATAGGATGTAAAGGACACCCAATATAAATACCATTTAATGAATGAGGTAACAAAGGTAAAATTTGTCAAAACATGTTCCCCAGTGTCCAGCTTGTCCACGGAGAAGGGAGAAGTAAGAAGAGGCCACTGGCATTATAGAAAGTGCTTGGCCTTTAATATGAGACATGGAATTTTATCCTGACACTGTTATTAGCCATGTGGCCTTGAGCAAAACCTTAGCTTTKGGGACTTTCGTGTCATTATGTGAAGAATGGGGATAATAAAATCCATTTCTAGCAGTTGTTGAAAGTATTGCTTGAATTACCCTGTTTAGAGTGACTTAGTGCTTGGCAAATAGCTGGCAATAAATGTCCTTTTCCCCTTATGCTGCAAGCTTCAAGAGAGATGTGGCAGCTTTTCTAATCATAGTAGCCAGCAAGTTGTGTGCGTTGTTATGGGCTAGGGAATGCTAACTTAGTACTTTCTGCCTATTTTCTCAATTAAATCCTTACCTTGAGCCTGTGTGGTGAACATTATCAAACCTGGTATGCAGCTGTGGAACACGAGGTTCAGAGAAGTTAAGGAGGTCCTACTTGACATTGAAGCTTGCACATGTGACCTCCTCTTACTGCTGAAAGTCTAACCAGGGTCTGGTTGCAGTCTGGTTGGTCTGAATCTATCCAACTAAATCTTGTTACTGTATAACAGACACTGGATGGTAGCCTTTCAGGTTGTCTTCACCTCAGTTCAGATTTCTAGCCACAGAGAGACACTTTGTATCTGTGGTTGTTGTTCTCTTGGACCCAGGTTTGGATATCCTGCATCTGAGGGTCCTTGTAATTAGGAGGGACAACTTCTGAGCAGGCTTAGCACATACCTACACATAAACATGCAGACTACTACATGGCCATAGGTCAGATGACCACTACACAGTTGGATGAACCTGAGTCAAGAAAAGCCATGGGCGTAAATACATTCCTTTCCAAAAGGATGGTGCATCTGCAAGGGTGTAACTGGCACTGATATTCTTGGCATTCATTGAGAACACCCCAGGCTGCTTAGGTAATTAACTTCCCAGGGTTAGTCATTAACAGGCTTCCTGCTTTCCCCCTCCTTTGACAGGCCCAGCTGTGAGATACAGTAAGTTCAAGATGTCAGAGGCCAGGCCACCTCCCCTGCTTGGGCAGCACACAACGTGCATCCTGAAGGAGGTCCTTGGATACGATGACAGGGCTGTTGGGGAGCTGCTCAGCGCTGGAGTCGTGACCCAACACAAAACCAAGTGACAAAAGAGAAGCACTCTTTCTCAAAGCCACAGTCTGAGAGCACTTTGCTGGTAAAGGCGATACTCTCTGGATCCTTCTCCCCAATCCTGATGCCAGGATTTCCTGCCTGGAATCTTTGCAATAACTCTGGAATTAACGAGCCTCGTGCCCTTCAAATATACCCCACCTTTTATTCCCTAACATTTTCTTTCAGATGATGGTTTAATTGTGGATTTGTGGAATTTTCTTTATAAAGATGTAATAACTTTGTTTCCATCCAATAGAAATGATATATATTTAAGGTGACAGATATGTTAATTAGTCTGATTCAATCCTTCCATAAAGTATATGTGTATGAAGCATCAAATTATACCCTGTAAATATATACAATTACTGTTTKTCAATTAAAACTGAAATCAAACTTAAAGATTTAATTTTTTTTTCCAGTAAAAATACACTTCTCATTCTAATTACATTAAAGGCCTAAATGTTTGCCTGACCCGCCCACACAGGCCTGAAAAAGAGCAGATCTCTGGACATTTTCTACTTGTACATAAAGTCCTCATTTAAATCTTTGTTAGGAAGTCAAAGCAATAAGCAGAATGACAGTCTCTGTGATTGATTTTAAACAGAATAACTTAATTTTGAGCTCATGAACCCTTTGTTAGTCTGTAATTTAAACCATAGACTTTGCCGATGTCCATCATAAAACTGAGCTCCATTCTCCCTTGTGGGAATAAATATTTGCTTTATGTTGTACTTCCCTGGTGATTTCATGACATGTGGCAGAAAATCAATTTCCACCAATGGATTTKGGGTGTCGCTATCTATCTGTATGATTGGGAAGAAACGGCTCTTTAATYGGTACCTTACCTTGAGCCATATCCAAATGAAACAGATTTTTTAAGAGTGTTAGATGACTCTCAGGGTACTAAATAATATATAAACAATGACATGTAGGACAATGACAGAAAACATTTTTGCAATCTGAGCATCCACTTTAGAAGACTGTATCATGCCTTCATATTTTAATTTGCCAGCAAATTCAAAGTATAGAAAAATATTCTGCTGGAAGATGAAGAGTGATTTATACATATATTCCAGCATRAACTATCACTCAAGACAGCCGAGCCCAGGTACAAACCAAGGAATCAGGYGGCCAGTGATTAGTATCCTGATACGACCTCAATTCATGGTTATTAGGCACACATACTTTAAAGCAAAGTCATTACATACCAAGTGGTAATTGAAAACTAAATTACAGATGTTCATCTTTCAAACTGTGATTTAGAGTTAGTTTTCTTTTCGTGTTCTTTTCAATTGGAATGATTTGAGTCATTTATCCAGGCTGTAAGGACCAATGTTTCTAGAATTAAGGATTCCAAATAAATACAAGCTTGTCTTCTGACAAGGCCTCCAGAGACTTTATAGAAGAATGCCTACTATTTTTCAAAACAGTTATTGTCCTCCCTGCTTTTCTGTTTATGGACATCCTATTCTGCAGAACTCCTGCTGTTATTTAACTAGTTAGAATGTCTGGGGACCAGGGTGATCTGATGCCTTCTGCAAACCCTTTTCCCATGAGGACTCATTCACAGATATGCTTTGGGAGATATTCACTTCAGGCCAAACATTCTAATACAATTTCTTGATGTTAATATAATTAGCATGGAAACTGGTGAGGGGGTTGGGAGACAAAGAATTGGCAAAGCCATGTATCTTGAAAGATGGATCCACCATTTTTCCCACAGATCCAGGGAGAGATTTCAAAATGCAAATTACTAAGTTGCCAAGAAAAAAAATCAAATATCTAGGTAGCCATATGTAGGAGGATCCTAGTTATATATAAGGTCCGAAAATGCCTCTATAATTTTCCAGTTACTAAAGACTGCAGGTCAAACTGAAACAAAGATCATGTCCCCAGTGTAATCAGCTATGTAGCTATTCAGATTTCCACCTACACAATTCAAAATGATCCAGGAGCACTTTGAATCTGTTGGTCACCCATCTAACAGAACTCATTTACTCAAGTGATTTAGTGAAATAAATTATTCAGAGTATGTTTTAAGTTCATATGGATAATTAGTCCTTAAAGAAACATTGTGCTTGCTAAAATTTCTAGCAATATGCCCCAGATCAAGTTATGCTTATAAACAAATGTGCTGTTTTATTATCAGGGACTATTATCTTACACATCCCCAAATTGAACACACTCCTAAGATACCATATGCTCAAGTTCAACTTGTCAAGGTCTGCCTTCTGGCAGGTTTGTGTCTGAGGTTGGCCTAAGAAAATTCCTTGAATCATGGGTTAATCGTTATTGAAGTGGGGGTATGTGTCCACAAGCTAATGGGCTTCTTTTCTTTTTGTTTTTTTTCCTTCCCCTTAAACTTTTTAACTGCCATTATTTTCTGGTTAATCAAGCGTATTTTTCAGCAAGCAGTCTGATATGCTGAATGTTTCTCTAGAAGAGAAATGAGCATTGATCCACTTTGTGTGAGTACCCCCGTTATTTGGTATGATCTTTTCTTTGATCCATCTACTAATGCTTTAAGGAAACAAGGATTTMTTACAGAAAATATTTAATAATAGTAGCACATTAGGCTACTAAGCATGGACAGCACCACGTGGTGGGGGGCTTTTGCATGCAGACTTCATGAGACCTCAGTTGAATCTACTATTTCACCATGGACTCTTGGGTCTAGACTTTGGCATGTTGTGTATTGAGAAAGCTTTATAGGTGTGAGTCTTGCTGATCACTTGCTGCTTTCATCCATAGGATTCATTCTCCAGATAATTGTCCCAAAGAGTCTGAGAATGAATGTCAGGCACAGGACTAACACACTTTCCAGATCTTCAGCTTCTTAAAACTGTCTACCCTTCATGCTCAGTGGAACAGGAGATGAGTGAAAAACAAAGACACAAATATTCCATACTCTCACCCTGAACTACTCATTTCCATGCTTATCCCYCAACATTTCGATATTCTCCTCTCTTTGGCTTCTATCCATGGGAGACTCCCTACTGTAATGTGCACTTACAGTTAGTGGGATTCTTGAGGTACAATGGGCCTAAAAAATAATGGTTGCTAATCTTTCTTGTCATATCATTGATCCTTGGGAGTCAGAATATCAAGCTCACTCCCTCTCCTTCTTGATTTTGTAATAATCACTGATGCAATCATTATTTGGTAAGGAGGATAAAGAGGTTCAGGAAAAAGGTGCATATTTCCATTTTGAACAGCAGTTTGGAATAAAACACAAAAATACATCATAGAAATTCTTACATTGAGACATAAAAATTTTTCTCAAGCTTTGTGATACAATTGTATTTCTCCTTACAATCCTACTATAGCAATACCATGATTAAAGGCTTTAGAATCTTACTCTGATAAGATGCTTAAGAGTTTATCTATGCAAACATACTGTAGTATCTTCCAAGCATGAATGGCCATGAATTTTTAAACAAGGTTGGCAGTACGCAGGAGAGGTTGATGTGGTCAGGGTAGTGGAGTATATAAGCAACTCCAATTCCCCAAGACTCATTCCATAATATGCCTTCCAGTATCACTTTAGGAGTTTGAGGTATTATAGAAAAATGAATTCATATCCTTTGCATTAATGCATTTATTTCACATGCAAGTACAGCAAGGGAGAGCTTTGAAGGAATGAGAGTCAAATAGGTAAAATTGATTACCAGGAAAGGGAAAAAAGCATGCCCAGAAAGGCAGATCCAAGAACACACTAACTCCAAAGGTCCTGGAGAGCCATGGGTAGAAGAATCCAGTCTTATATGGAGTGCCAAGAGGAAGGGGAAGGGTCTGAAAAGAGCTCAAGTGCTCCCCCAGAAAACATATTTCATTCACCCCAATTTTTCTTGAGACACAGCTCTTTTATCCCCCTTTCATTAATGCCTTAATGTTAAAAGGACAGGACAAGAAAATCACCACTGTGAAAATGATTGATTGTTGGCTGCCTTCTTGCTAGCCCATTTTTTTGCTCCTTTGTTTCTTTTTATCTGGTTACTTTCTTTCCTACCTTTCTTTTTTTCTTTTTCTTAAACCCCCTAGCCTAGTGGTAATAATCTTCCCCTCCTCTTCTTCCTCCTCTTGCTTTCCTTCTCCTCATCTTCATCATCTCTCTTTGTCTCTCTCCACTCATAGACATGCACACCCCAGAGTCACAGATCCAAGTTACCCAAACATGAATACCAAAATATGTACCCAACCTTCAGAAAAATAGGACTCGCTMAGTAATTTGAAAGATAACTAGTGGTAATTCTGGCTATTACTTCACCTCCACAAGCAATCTTGAATTAATCTCTGGGTGGGACAGTTCTTTAATAACTAGCTGTCACTTCTCTCTTGAAACCCAGGGAAAGAAATTAAAGAGTGTTCCAAATGCCATTCTGAGAAGTGGCCGAGCCCTCAGGCTTGCTATCTCTCTGTCATACGCCCCAAGTTCCAAGAAGAAGAAAAAAATTAAAATATTAAAATAGAATACAGAGCCAAGTCTACACTCCACAGACACTGGAGCTCAACAGCTGGAATCTTGCAGCTGCTGCTGTCTGGGGATTTTGTCAGGGTAGATGCGGGCCACGTTGGTGGATGTTCTGCTCCAGGACTAACATTGGCTCTGACTTGGTTTTTTGCTCTTCTTTTTAAAAGACAAGCTTACTTGACCTTCAGATGGTATTTAATCATTTGTCACTAGCCATTTTAGTGAAATGGCCTCTGAAAGGACAATGCCTTCTCCTCCACCTTGGTTTTCGCAGATGTCAAACAGGATGATGGGATCCTCGTGGCTTCCTTTTCTTTTTTCTTCCAACAGGATGCAGAACATTTGACATAACCCTCCCTTTTCCTCTTCTCTTTCTTTTTCTTTACACATTAACCACATGGTACTCTATTGGTTTCTTTGGCTCCTGACCACATAGATTGGAGGAACAGTTTTCCTGCTACTCATCCTATCACCCATGTGCCTTCCTCTCACCCAGAACCTCTACACAGGTCTCATCCTGCAGCAGGACTGAGAGGAGAAAAATTAATGACAGCCATGGATTTATGTTTTCATATTGTACAAAGAACTTCCTGCCCCGTTATTAACAGAAACTTTGAAATATACAGTTAATGGACACTACTGTTTCTTCTGAGATCAGGTCAAGAAAATTGTAACTTTCATTTTGGGGGGACTGTTAAAGAATCACTTTTTTTTTTTAAGAATAAGAAAAGCAGTCTCTTTTTGAGTAGTTCTGCTCTGCTCATACCCAAACCTGCTTGTGCTGGCATTGGCACAGACCACAGGGCAGGACAGAAATGCTACAACGCGCAGGTTCACCTGTGGAAATAGAGCCAGATTTTTCTG